CGAGAACAATTTTTCAGGCGCAGAAAAAAATAATAAAAAAAAAGAAGCCAGGGATGGGTATATACTATATAGGAACGTTTTTGCAAGGATGAAGCATCATGCTGATGGGCTTTGTGCGAATTTTGAAATTGCCTAACGTATATAACTACAGTGGCCCCCCGCCTAACAGACCTCACGTGTAAGGGATTTTTGCCAAACAGACCAGCTCTGCAAGCAGTTTTTCCTACCACCCAACAGACAAAATCTGCCAAACAGACTTCTTTTGGTTTAAAATTAGTGTTGAAAATTGAAATTTTTAAATTTTTTATGTAATTGAATTCGTGTAAAGGACTTTTTGTCTAACAGACTTGACCCTTGCACGAATCAAGTCCGTTAGACGGGGTTGACTGTATATATACCATAGAATCTCGTTACGACAACTCTTGCTATATTATTTATTTTTTGCTGATGATGGAGTTTTACTGATGATGTTTCCATGTGGCCAAGATCCTTGCGAATTTAAATTTTTGGCAGTCAGCCTATCAAAAAAAAAGCTTTGCCAATAAATTTTCCGGAAAGAATCCGCGAAAAATAAATAATTCTGGGAAACTGTACTCCCTTTTTCTCACAATAATAGCGCATTTTTTTAAAACCATACTTACAGTATTTTAATGCACAAAGCCATGGATTGAATGACTTTTCTCTTCTTTTGCGCTTAAAAATGTGGGGAAAATCGAGCACTCGAATATTCATGGAATTTTATTTTGAAAGATATTGTGCTGTTTAAAAAATGGTTCAATCGTAAATAAGGCTGGAACGCCCTCGACATAATTCTCTGAAAGTCCTCCAAGAAAAAAGTTTCAAGATTCCTTACAAAGAAATATTTGACGATTTTTTCATTGTTTCTCTTACAATTATCATAAATTTTTCCTACTGCCTTTTAAGGGAATCCATCCATTGCTGATAGCAGGGGGAATGGGCAACTCAAAAGAAAATCACAGATAAAAACCTGAGATTTAAGATTTTTCAATTTCAAAACTTTCTTGTTTTTGTGTTTAAAAAAACCTTTCGATAGTGTTCTGCTATAATACCCTTCGATATTTAAAATAATTAAGTTCTGCGTTTCTGCCACACTTTTGTTGCGAAATCTTCAGAATTAAAAAAATCAGTTAACTCTACGCATGATTTAAATACCTGCCTGATCTTCTAAGACATTTCTTATAAAAATAAAGAATACCTTTGTTTTGACTGCGAAGTTGGCATTATGTCAAAATTCGTGTAATTGTATTTTTTTCTAAATATTTTACTGTCACCAGAGGCAAGCTTGCACTGCTCTCGGGAATTGAATGCGGCATTGAAATTATGATGCCATCAAGTATATAGGAGACCCAATCGGATAAAGGGAATTCTTTTTTAACCAATGCGTTTATTAATCTTGATACTGTAGTTTTAAAATTCCCTTTTCAAGGGATTAAATCGTACAGAGGAGCAAGTTTCGAGTACAGTACTACAATTAAAGGGGAGTACGCGAAATACTTGTAACTTAAGACTTAAAATTCTGAAGGGGTACGCGAATTTATTTATCGTGAATTTTAATTCGAATTACTGTAGCATTAAATTTGAGAGATGTAATGCTAATTCTAAAAAATCGATCAAAAATTCAGCATTACATTTCCATGAACAACATTCTGGCAAGGAGAAGTATTGACGAGATTATACTCATCATATTTGCGAGCAAAACGTTTCCCAAAGGCATATGCTGCAGTTTGGGTCAATGCATTTAAATTCTCGAAAATGCAAATTGTTGAATTTTCTATATCACAGCTTTCGAACGTGTGGCTAAGGCTTCGAAAACTAACACAGTGTCTGAGCCATTAAGAGAGCAGAAATGCATAAAATATTCACATTTTACTATTTACGTAAATAATGCATTTAAGCAGCGCCTTTTGTCACTTGTGGACAGCGCTAAATCTTTGAAAAATGTCGGCAATACATCGTTTCATTACTCAACTGAGATTCTATTATGTGTTGAGCCTCACAGAGCAGCCCATATAAGGAGAGTTGAACGATAGTTTAATTATACTCAGAAATTTTAACCTGAAGTTGAATACAGTATATTGAGCGAGAAGTACCATGCAATAAAAGCCATGTAAGTGCAAACACGCTCAAGTCCTTCCAAATAAAAAAATACATATATTTTCCTAGTGATTCCTGTGACTGGACGGAATATCACCATACATTTTGCAAGTACAGTACTGTACATCGTTCACGTTTTTAATTCATTTAGTTTACCTCGTTATTTTTTATTAAACATTTTTGTTTTTGTCGGAGTTCTCAATAATACAGCATTTTTATAATTAAGGATTTGAAGGTGCGAATGACAATGCTGTACTCAGTGCATTATTAATGCCTATTCAATTAATGAGCAAAAATTTGATCCGAAAGTAATTAACATCTAATGATTGATTCTGTAAAATACAATTGCGGATATTGTAAATACTCTATGTACAGCGGTTTTGTCCTGGACATGAATATCCACATTCAAAAATTTTATTATACAAGTACTGTATACCGTAAATATTTCCCTAACGTCTTCGGCCCCTCGGTATAAAGAAATCATCACATAAAAAATGTTTCCAGTTTTATTTAATAAATGCATAATATGCGTCAAGATTTTTTGTGAATACCACCAAAAATTGAGTAGCATTTTCAGTATCATCTATTCAGCAAGGGGGAAATGTTTACTCAATATTTATGAGCACGGCAAGTACGAGGGTTTGCTCCATTAGTTTTGAGACTTTTTGAAATAGATCCATTTTGAAATTCCAGGAATTCCATTTTTTTCACTCTAATAGTCCCAGCATTTGGCCACACTTCAGTGCTGTTCAAGGCACTCTCCGACGATTTCCATGCATTTTTTCATGCAATAAATCCAATGGTCAAAAAATTTGCAAAAAATCGAGTTCTGTTATTTGATTAGCCTGTGACTTCTGGCAGTTTTCGATACAGAGAAGAACAACCTGATGAAACAGGTTAAATTTTTTTGGACAGGGACAGCCTCATTTCCGCCGTCGAAGAGCAGCTTAATCAACGAACAAGAACTCAATTTTTGGCACTGTTTTGATCCTTGGATTTATTGCATGAAAAATTGCGTCTAAATTGGCTGAGAGTATGTTGAACATCAGTGAAATGTTGCCAAATGATGGGGTTCATGCGGGTAATTTTTTTTTTCAAATTGTTGAAGCTCGATTGGATATGTTTCAAAAAGTCTCAAAACTTATGAAGCGATCATTGTGCATTTAAAAAATTCAGTTTCACCAATCAATCGGCGACGTCGTATTTCGATAAAAACCAAATGACAGTGAATCAACAGCTTAAGCATAATTTTCGATTTCCAGGCGCTTTTTTCTTCCTTGCCATAAAGTACTCGGACTCTTTAAGCTGCTTTTTTTTACAACCGTTTCGAATTTCCTCGTAGAGTTGGAAGACAGATCAAACGAAAAACTGTTGGAATACGTGACGGACATTGATTGAGGAATGATGTGCAGTCGTGAGAAGGCAATTAGTTATCCTTATCAAAAAAACAAGAAGAAAAGAAGAGAATAGAGGAAACCAAGGGATGGATGAATTAATGGTAGACATCATCTTTGAACGGAGACGGTAACGAGTGAGCCTTGGAAAATCACGACTCGGGTCTTCTTTGGAGTCAGGTACGTAGTTTTCTTGAGACTCGCGCGTGACGCGGACGTGAGTCTCAGAATGCCCAGGAAATATACACATATTTTTTTCAAAGTTTGAAAATATTGCAGCTTAAAAATGTACGTAAAACAGTGGGACTCTGAGGTGCGGACGCAATTTGTGCTTGGATCTTGTCCCTATGTCGAATCGCGTGCATGTCTTATTTCGTTTTCCAATAGATTTCATTGGAAATTTATATACTGTAATTGGTTCTCCTGATGGTTGACAAATATTAGGCATAAGTTCTCCAAGAAATTTAATTTAAAAAAAATTCCCTCAACTTCAAGTTATAGGAAACAGCAGTGTATAAGAAAACCACATTAAATCTGATTTTTTGACAAACAAAAGGAGCTCAAAAAGCAAAGAAAAGCGTCAAAAATTAGGAATAAGTTATCCAAAAAATTTAATGAAAATTCTTTCCCTCAACTTCAAGTTATAGAAAACAGCAGTATTTAAGAAAACCACATTAAATTTGATTTTTTGACAAAAAATGAGCTCAAAAAGCAAAGAAAAACGTAAAAATTAGGAATAAATTATCCAAAAAATTTAATGAAAAATTTTTCCCTCAACTTTAAGTTACTGTATAGAAAACAGCAGTGTATAAGAAAACCACATTAAATCTTATTTTTTTAATGAGCTCAAAAAGCAAAGAAAAAAGACAAAAATTAGATATAAGTACTCCAAAATATTTAATACCAATTGTTTCCCTCAACTTCAAGTGATAGAAAACAGCAGTGCAGAATAAAACCACATTAAATCTAATCTTTTGACAACAAAAGGATCTCAAATAGAAAAGAGAAATGATGCGTCTTGCTAATACAGTATAATGCGCACAGATAATAGAAAAAGGAAACCTCTGAAAAAAAGAAGCTCAAAATCAGCTTGTTTTTGATCATGAATTAAATTAGATTTATAATATAATATTTAAATTTTTAATAATAGATAACTCGATTTGTTTACGAGAGATAAAAAAAATTCTGGGAAATGTCAAAAAAGTTTTATCTGGAACCATCGTCTGTGTGTCGGGCCAGATATTTTCAGGTGTCAAGTGTTCCTAAGTCGAATCACCTATTTTTCGGGGTGTCCGCATATCGAGGTCTCACTGTATTTATACGATCCGTGAGGGGGGGGGGGGGGGAACCGTCAAAGATAGTAAATATTTTAGTAAGGCGGCGAGTGCATGATGCTTATTCACAAAATCATTCGTCATCGCTTCGTTATTCATTCGTTATTTTTTTCACTCATCCTGAAGTCCTGATTCCAGACGAAGTTCATCACTCGAAATGCTTTATAGCTGGCTAAATTGCCACAGGATCTTGTGGATTTTCGTACTAGTTCAATGCGTGTCCAGGATTTCCGGTAAGAATTTCGGAAAGTGCGAATTGGCAGAGGAACTCGCGTTTCGTCACGATGTGCCTTTGGAAGAAGTTCCACATTGTAAGAAACGATGCTTTATTCTGTCATACACAATTCAGAGCTTTTGTTTTATGATTTAAAAAAATAAAGGGGTTTGCATTGCAAAACACGAATCCACGTTTGACACTTCGGCGATCAATAGGAATTATTGGGATGGAAGCAAGGATTACGGATTGTTTCAAATCAATGACCGATACTGGTGTTCTCCACCCGACGATCAAAATTCATGCAGAGTGAACTGCGTCGGTTTGTTCCTTTATATATACTTTATCCATATTTAAGTGCAATATGTGATTTAGTGATTTTAAACTTGTCGATAGATTTGCTGGACGACGACATCAGGAACGACGTAAAATGTGCTCGTAAGATTTTCAAGATTCACCGGAGGAACGAAGGAAACGGCTTCTTAGCTTGGTGATTATATATTTTTTTTGAAATCGAAGTACATATTTTGAAAATTCGAAGTTACCTGTTATATGCAATATTAAATGAATGTAATATGCAACAATTTGAGAGCGAATTGAGGAAAGATTGTTTGGCATCTGTGGTCCGTTATTGATGTTCTTCCAGATATTTCATTGCGCAATCTCAAAAAAAAAAGACAGGCTCGTTTATTCCTTCGTGAATTTAGCAGATTGTTTGTACCTTATGGGATTTTTTGCTTTTAGGACTGCTTGGAAGCAATGGTGTCGATATTTGGACATGTCCAACTACGTCAGCGACTGTTTCAATGACACTCTGAGAGAGTTTTTCAAAATGAGCACTTTCAGCGGGGGTTTCAATGACATCGTCGAAGTGGGAATGCGAGCGGGATTTCAACCAGCGGAGTCGGGGATCATTAGAAGAGGTTATTTCCAATATTTATTTCCATGAAATTTCCAGAGATTATACTGTATAGTGAACATTTAAAGCAAAATTATGGTCTCTTGAGTCGCGTTCTTGAAGGAGTCCAAATAAATTTCCCACGCGACCAAAATTATGAACTTCCTATATATGGCAAAAAAGCTGCGTAGAAAAAATAGACCAAGATTCAAAGCTTTTAAAAATGTAATGCATCACATTTTCCTTGGATTTTATTTTTCTATGTTTTTAGCTACAGTTAATTTATAAGGTCCTAAAAAATCGAACCTAAAGAAATTTGCTGCGTTTTTTTTTTTGAGTATCAGAATACAGCAGATGAGTAGATGCATTTCTTACCAGTTTTGTCCTTGTTTCCCGCGTCTTTGTACAATCCGCAAGTTGTCAGGCCTCATCAGCAGGTGACACTAATCGATTTAGCTATATAGAGCGATCATTCGAAATTGTCGGATTTTTTTTTTATTGTCCTGATTACATTTAATCTCGAGGGTGGCAAATATTAGAATGAGGGAGATTCCAATGGCGGCAAAATGCAGATTTCCTGGTCCGATTCCGCGTGTCCTTGATGGATATTACAGTACTCTATTCTTCCATTGATTGGTTCATAAATTTTAGAAAAAATATGTAGATTGATAATTTTAATTTTTTGCTAAAATCTGACGTCCCGATATGAAAATTTGCAAGAGCTGAAAAGGAACAAAATCCGTGGTGTGATTGCTATTCATTCAGGAAACTTTTTCCTTCAGGTTTTTCAAAGTAGGAATGCAGACGGCGATGTGATTTGAACGGAAAAGAAATCAATACCGGTTATTACCGTTTTACCTTTTTTTCTGTGTCGCTTTGGAACTAAAAAAAACAACAACATTATAGGCTCCGAAACCTGGGAAGAAAATCCGGATGACCAGGATAATGCCCTGCGGGCAATATCCGCACCGACGTGCCCGGCATGCCTGCACCCGGTATTTTCCACGACGAGTTCCCAGCAGCAGCCAGAAGAGTCGTCCACAAAGTCCTCATCGAAACCCGTGATATTCGTCCCGATGCCGGGTTACAATGCGATCGTCAGGGACTTTTACTACCACACGAATCCGTATCCTCAAGTTGGAATCTTGGCCCCGGGCATGCAAACAGCAGCAACCCAGCCCCCGGTTTTCTTCAAAGCCAGGCCGCTTTCTTGGTACAGTTTTATTTTTGGGAAACCCGCGGAGGTCAATAACAGGAAAAAGTGAATTGCTGAAAATCGAATGCTGTATGGTCAGAGTTTTATTTAGTGAGGATGAAGCGAGCAGAAAATGTTATTCGAGGATATGGATTTGTTTCAGTCATAATGCGGCATGAGAAGAAGTAAGAACGTATCATAGTAAAGAACAATTCTCCATTTTATTGAACATTAATCCACGTTGGGAAGGAAGATCTTTCTGGACATCGCCTTATTTCCAATCTCGTTCTGAAGATAGAAACCACTCAAAAGTCATTTATACAGGGGTCCCTGCATGAAAATAATTCATTCCTGGATGCGTGTTTTATGCAGAATTTTTGTAATTCAACGCACGAATTCCCTTAAGGGTACAAATAAATTAACGAAGAAATTTGAATGCAGGAGATCACAGTAGTGATGAGATTTTTTTGCACTTCTCACTCCCGCCTCCTAAATTTTCGGAATTATGTGTGCACCTTCTTGAAGGCAACATGAAATTCGCTGGTTGAATTATTGGTCCTGTACCCCATTTATCCCTAAAAATCAGCTCTGGAAAACACTAGCTTATAATGGAAGAAAATGCCTGACAAATAATTTTTTTCAAGTTTTCATTCAAGAGTTTCTTGTGGCAGTATCAGTTGCATATAATTTGGAAGAGGAATTAAACAACCTCTCATGTAGTGCTTTTTCATTGCCGTAGCTCGATTTGCTGCCAACTTATTTCAAGTCAAAAATCGGTTCACTTTTTTGACCCACCCTGTACACGGAGATACATTTTTTTTAATTTAAAAGTAAAAAATATGGGAGCGCGTCTGCGCGGTGATGAATTTTGTGCGAAATTTTCCTCTTCTTCGGTCAAGTTTTCAAAGAAAGCCACTCAGTCACGTGAGCTTCGAACTGTATATATTCTGTTGAGTTTCAAAAACTTGTCCCGATCTCTTCAAAAAGTATGATATGCAAAAAAAAGCTGATTAAAACACATGCATTTCTTCAAAATTTCTAAAGAAAAATGATGAAAGCTTTCACGTCATTTTGCTTTAGCAGATCGATTAAAATATGCACGCCAAATTTAAACGAGAACCTCGCGATAACATGTTAAAAATGGAGTCTTTCCTGATGTAATTTGTCTGCTGTTCATAGACCAGAAAAATGCAATGATGTGTGACGAAAGAAAAACTGCGTTTTTATCTTTCTCTTTCTCGTTACGTAACTCTTGTGGTCAGCAATTTCCGTGCACGATTTTCTCGGACATTTTCTCATTATACATGCTCAATTTCGAAAGGTTTCTATTGCTATACGTGGCGATATGTCCTATAGTGTCACTTCTTGTAGAAATAATCACTTTTTTGTGGAGACATTTCAAGCTGGAAGGGTCACATTAATTCCACGAGGATGGACTGAATCGTACGCCACCAATTTTCGAATGATATTCCGGGAATGCATAATTTTAAAATTTACGCAAAAAGTGTCCAACTGATGATGAACCACAATAAAACGGATTCTTACTCACAAATGGAGTCATTCGTCATAATTCAAGCACCACGACGGAAATTTCTCATTGATCTGCAATAATCGCATGATTCGGCCCAGAGCCAAGAAACCCATAATTTTTCACCATGAGAACTTCGTGTTTGACTCATTCTTCCTGCTCTTTATACCCCATTGCAAAATGTTCTGGACGATTACCTTTCACTCGTCCAATTATGCTCCTTGATAACAGAGCCGCGAGGAAATGCAGATGGCAGAGAACTTCGTGTTTGACTCATTCTTCCTGCTCTTTATACCCCATTGCAAAATGTTCTGGACGATTACCTTTCACTCGTCCAATTATATGCTCCTTGATAACAGAGCCGCAAGGAAATGCAGATGGCTAGAAAGAAGCCCCTTTTCAAAATTTAACGCATATATGACAAGGATATACGTTGATGAAACAATGAATCGAAATTGCAAGAACTGCTTCACGTGTTTACCAGAAAGGTTCGGAAATAATTCCTCCGATTTATTTTTGAACAATACACAGACAACAGGGTGGAAGAAATTGGTGATTTATCCGCTTTGACCAAAAATTGTGTAAAATATCTGATTGTAGTTGCTCAAATACAGTTGAACGTCTATGAGTCGAATCTCTAGGGACCAGGAAAAAAATTCGACTTAGGGAGCAAAACTAAAAACCTCCAAAGGTCAACTCCTTTGCTTGTGAAAACAAAACTCCTCTTTATTTTTTTCAAACCCTTTAGCATTTACTCCTATAAGACCCGGTTTTGATAGAGGAATTACTTAAATGTGTTTATTAAAGTCGGAGGCATGGGTTCATTTGCTATTTTTGTTTTTCAATTCCTTTCAAGATGCATCAAATTATTTTTTTAAATCATTTTATCTTTGATATTTCAAGGAAATAATGACTAGAAGGCCTTAGAAAATTTGAATTACAGAGGTTTTAGAGAGAAAAAATTCGAGTTAGGGAGGTTTTTAATGTAATGATTCTAAGGGAATTCAGACAGGGACATGAAAAAATTTGACTTAAAGAGGAATTCAACTTAGGGAGGTTTGACTTATCAAGGTTCACCTTATAAAAATGACAGAAAATCAACGAAAAGGATTCAAACTGTTTTCTTTGTACTTTTCAGATGATGGTTATTAACACAAAACACAACTATGAATAATGAATAGTTCTGTATAATAACCAGGCCAATAGATAACATTTTTATTAACATAATCCAAATCGGACGAATTTCTGAAATCTCAAACGTAAAGCTTCCTGATTCAAATTTGTTCAGAGCCCCCACAAGCACTTGACGTGGAGAAATTCAATAATACTTTGATTTTGAAATTGACGCATTAAAATCAAAACAAATTAAGTTTTTAAATTTGAGAGCATTATATACGTTTGGATTACAAAGAGGAGCGTCTTGAGCGAGTCGTTTCTGAAGCACACCAACAAAGAAAAACGTTTCCGGGTACAGTACAATCGTTGGCACCATCCGAACACAACAGCCTTTTTATCGTCCCTTGAAGGCAGGTTTAACTTAGGGCTCATCTTCCTTTATGTACTTATTTTTTTATTATTTCATTCGTAGCGGTTGCTAGTCGAACTGTACCGCGTCTTTAAGCGTGGGCGCTGATATACAACCTCACGGACTGGTAAGGGCAGCACTCCAACAGTCATTAGTAATGACCTTTTATGCCTCGTCAAAGGAAAACATACTTGCTCGTAAGCTTTTTTTTATTCCTTTTGATACATTCCCTACTCATTTCGCTTTCCGTTTTTTTGGGAAGGAGAAATGGGCGTTACAAAATTTTCCTCCGAATAAATTGAGCAGCTTTGTGATAGGCTTTCTCACAAATTAATACATTTTTCATTT